TGAGGCGGATACATTCTAAGTGGTATTCATAATTTTCAGTTGTAATTAAGTAATTAGTAAAGTTTTCGTTGGCTGCTGTTTTGTCATTTTGTTTAATAGGGGTGCAAAAGTTTTAAAAGCCCTGCAATCAGACGACCTTCCCCGCAGAGTGTTGCGAGTGATTCATCCATTAAAAACTCTGCTGCCACCGAAGAGCTCCGTGATGACCAGTTTATTATTGAGCCTCTTCGTAAATTGACCCCTAAGATTCACCAGGACATGCCGACTTCGCTACCAGAAGAATTTCCTATGCCGCTGCATTTGGCTACTCCTGACGAAGTAGCGGAAAAACGAAAACGGCTTTGTTCAATAATATGGGAACAGCCCATTTATGAACCAAATGAAGAGGAAGGCAATGATGGACCAGCAGAAGAATCTGATATTGCTTACTTTCCGTCAGACCCATGCAAGCCAGCCAAAAAGACAAGGTATACCTTTCTCAGATCTTCTGTTTTAGATCTTTGCATGTTTAATAGTTTATTTTTTAGGATGAAACGAACAAAGGAAAACTACGTGCTAATAGATTTAAAGCATAAGAAGCGCTGTCGCATGAAAGCTCATCTCAAAGGAGCGAGGTTAAAGCGATTATTGTTGAGACATAAATTCGGGTCCAAGAAATAAGTGCTGCCTGATGAACAGGGCATTACTTCCCCGTTAGCGAAAAGACTTTGGTGCACTGATAATTGAATAGTTCACGTTTTCTTGCTGTCACCAGAGCCATGCCGTATCGTAAAAGAACGTTTTATTACAATGTAGTATAAATTTATATTAAAAGTATTTCGCCAATAGTCCGCTTTGTCTGCCTCTCGCTTATCATGACTGCATTTGGGGATGATACGGAACTCACACAGAGAAGTCAGATTTTTCCTGTTATCGTCAAAAGCGTGTTGTTGTTATTGGATTATCTGTATGACAACCGAAACACGATAGCCGTTAGTTATTAAGGTCACATACAATGAGGGCCACTGTTGTTTATAGGCTGCAGTCACAGTAGTTTTTATAGCAAATGTACTGAAAAGCTGAACATGCGGAGCACATCACTAACCAGAATCCTTCTGCACTGGTAAATGACCTGGCTGAAGATCACAGCAAACACAACAGCGGCACTGCTGCCTGAAATACAAGCTCTGCAAAAATCTGTTTCGTGCCCGCGTGGTGTAAGGCAGGCAAAGGAAAAAGTACAAAGCATTATTTTCAATGACAATAGAACATGTGCCTGTATTCAATTCAAAACGTACGTTGTGCAGATGTAATGTATTTAAAATATCTGCCCGCAGTTTAAGCATATCAAGAAGTCACGGAACAGAATTCGCCAGGCGTATTTTAATGATAAAGCCGCATGCGTAGATGAATGGCTCGAGGAATTTAAAAACTGACATTACTATTACTTTGATTTCATACCACTGAGCCTGTCCGCTTAGCGGCTAATCAGATCCATGCAGAACTTTCCTGAAGAAACCCGGGAGGAATAAGCGGATTTTGAAAATGAGCGGATATACTGTTTACCTGTGTGTAATATTAAAAATGATGATGATGATATCGTTTCCCGCAAAAGCAAATTATATATTCAATTTTTTCGAGAAAAAAAAACATATTTACATGTTCAAAGATTGGTAATGCATATGTTCTACTCTTCGAACTCGACGCTACTTGCTTCATTCAGAATTTTGCAGCAGATTATACTGGAAAACAGTACGTTGAGTAGAGCCTGAAGATAAAAACGTTAAGTGCATTTTTTAACTTTTTATCACAATCTTACAGCAGTTGGTTTTAAGCGAAAGTACAGTCTCATTTTGTAAGACAACGGCTAAATCGATAATGCTTCATTTATTATATATCACCATCTGTACGACTTAATTTTGGAGATTGGCACATGAGGATGAGAGGCACATGCTGTTAAATTAAATAACCAGGCCTTTCAAGCAAGATCGATTATATGGATCGCAAAATGGTAACGTGACAGAATGCATTATTCCGAAAGCAGAAACAAATCCTAGTCTAAACAGTCAGATAACGATGCATGTCCGCACCAGCAAATGTCTTCCGCTTTCCTGGAGCAGGAAGAAACCATATTCTATCGCGTGCTTCTCAATTAAACACCATGTCGAATGCGGATGACAGGGACAGCAACGCCATCCAATATGTCATTGTATGGAGCAATCCTACGGACGTGAACGATTTTTTGGATTTTCTACGGCTTAGTACAATCTTAGTACAATGGTCGGTCCCAAGCC